CACACACACACACACACACACACACACACACACAGAATTTGCTGTGTAGGATTAAACACAAATTACACATCAAACTGTCCCAGATTTAAAGAGAGAGAGAGCAGGTGAAGAGCAGACGGATCAGCAGAGGACAGGGAGGACGGATTAAACAGAGACACACAATGAAATTCATCGATGAACAATGTCAGTGACAGTCACTATTCAAAGTGTGACTGTAGTTATCTAGTTGTCTAACTACATGTGATGGCTTCAGCAGCAGCACACACACAAACAGAAGCGTTGCATGAAGTCCAGACTTCTCGTCTCGGGAGTTTCCTGACGGTCGATGTATGTTCGTCCTGAGCAGGTGGTCGACGATGTGACGGTTCAGAGGTTTAGTTTCAGCAGAAATATTAAAATGCAGCTTTACACATTCACACTGAAACATCTGAGACGGTTTGAAACACTCGGTGGCGTCATGAATGTTGATTTTTATATACTTCCTCTGTCTCACCCTCTCACCCCCCATGTTACTGTTTTTCTTAACATCTATGAAACTACAAAGTGTGTGTGTGTGTGAGAGTGTGTGTCCGTCCGTCCCTCCCTCATCCTTTCATGACACGACCCCATCACACAGTGCGCACACACACATAAACACAGACACTGCAGCAGTGCAGTTACCATGGCAACCATTCGTCCAGTAACTCCCCCCCCCCACACACACACACACACACACACACACACCAGCCTTGTTTCATTCAGACTGACTGTGAAAAGAGTGAAAGCGTCTGAGTCGTTCAAAGAATAAAAGTCCTCATTATGACTAGCTGCCTTCAAAATAAAAGCTTTAAATCTACAATCAGAAGTGTCACTAAAAACTTTCGCAACTAAAATAAGGTATTATTATTCTTCTTTTTCCCTTTGTTTGCTGATTTTAGTCCTTTTTAGCTCTAAAGTCATTTTCTCTAATAAATTGTTTTAAAATTCAAACAAGTAAAAGTTTCAACATGAGCCTACGTTGTTTCCAGTGCGAATAATTTGATGCTTTTATTTTGAAAGCGGTCTGTTTTTTGCTTTATTTCCTTAAGGCCAACGCTGCTGGAATCTGAGGATGTGTGTGTTGTGTGTTGTGTGTTGTGTGTTGTGTGTTGTGTGTGTGTGTGTGTGTGTGTGGGTGGGGGGGGGAGTTGAGTTCACTACAAAAACTCTGCATCAGTCACACAACGCTGCGACAAATCCTCAGCTCTCCACTGTCTTATCTGTGACTTCAAAGTGTGTGTGTGTGTGTGTGTGTGGACTTGGTAAAAATAGCTTTGTCAGTGAATGTGCGATAAGTATAAATCCTCAATCCTGTCGAGGACAAAAGAGTTTCAGAGCGGATCTGAGGAAATTCAGAGTCTGTTCAACGCGATGAAGAAAGAAAAAAAAAAAAAGAGTTTTGCTGACTGTCGCCGTTTCAGAGCTTTAAACTGAAAACACGTTAAACTCATCGTCCCGACTTTTAACACTGAAAAGACGACTGAAAGATAATCGTGTAAACACACTCAATAGGAATATTAACTTCATTTTTCCTTTTATATTTTTGAAAGTCACTTTGAGGAAACGGTGAGAGAAACTAGTTCAAATGCACCAAATGAACTCGTCCTCGGTTTCAAACATATAATCGGAGGAAGCAATCCTGCAGCTGCTTCCTCTTTGTTTTCTTCCTCTGTTGTTTAATGCTGCCTCTACTTCCTGTGATTTGTCAAAAAGTCTACTAGACCCAGACCACCTCTTTTGGTTGGACTACATTTTGGTGTGATGGTCTGGATCGTGGTCTGAGGAACATTGAGGTTCAGACTGAACTGAAAAGTCTGAAGGTCTGAACCAAACAAAGTGTGAAATCTCTCTAGATCTAAATTAAATCTGTCAGAGGACACACGTTGGCTCACCTGTTTTCCGTCCAGCGTGTACAACCTCTTCACGGCACCGGAGTCCAGCTTGATGGCCTCGGTGATGTCGGCCAGCACTTGTTCGAAGGAGTGCGCTGTCTTCTTGTTCAGCAGGATCCTCACGGCCTTGCGGGGCTTCACGCCGCTGCGGATCACCGTCACCAGCTTGGGTTTGATGAAGTCTTTGCTCTCCCTCCCCTCTCGACCCTCAGGGCGCTCTCTGGTGCTGGTGGCGACGGCGCTCGCTGACACACCAGTGGACACCGTGGTGGACCGGGTGGAGCTCGCCACGCCGGCCCCGGCTCCGGGCTTCCAGCTGGGGACGGAGATCTTGTTGTAGTCGACCTTTCTGTACGGCTCATTAGAGGCACAAACGTAGCACTCACCTGGAGAGAGAGAGGGAACAAAGATGTTCAATCTGCACAGTGTCAGATCAGTGACTGTAAATCAAGATGGACGACACGTCTCCACTTCCTCCTGAAGCCAAAATATCTCAGGAACAAACGCTGAGCTGTTCACTTCATTTGCAGTCTCCGGAGTTAATTGTTTTGTCAATAAATGACAGGAATTATTGAAAAATGTCCACGGACCAACAACACGTCCTACAATACTTGATTATTAAAGACGAATTATTTGTCTGTGAATTCACGAACTGATTCATCGAGTAATCGTTGAAGCTTTTAATTGATTCAATTTGAACCAATCACACGAGCAGCAGACGACAGTTTTGCCTTATATGGTTAAAAATGGCTCCGTCTGAGTCTCTCTCCTGTAGTCTCACTCTGCCTCGCTCTACATGTCCCACACCTTTACTCCCTCTTTTTCACACTGCACCTGCATCCCTCACCTTTTCCTCTCTTGCACGTTCACAGACTCTGCATATCTCTCTCTCCCTCTCTCTCTCTCTCTCTCTCTCTTTGTGTGTGTGACCTTCCCGTTCGTCTCCTTCCAAATGTGGACATTTCACTTTGCCATTCAAACCAGCTGCTCTGGATTTTTTTATTCAAATACAGAAAAACAACAAAGAACAGCTTCTGTCCATCTCATCACGAGACGACAGCTCCAAAAATAAAATTTTAAAAAGCCAAAGCATCTTGATCGTCGTCTTTTGGTCGGCTGCAGTGCTGGTTACAAACCCTGCCTCCTCCATGTTCATAGATGGGTCACGGACCAGACTAAAAAATATTAATTGCGATATCTTGGCTTCATGTCTTTTTCAGCGGGGGTGGAGCGGTGTCGTCCATCTTTATTCAGACTCTATGGTCACAATCTATTAACATCAGTTATTTTTTTCAGTTTTAAGTTTTTGTTGCTGGAAAGCAGCCAAACAAAAGCTTCCATGTTTTTTCCTCGTAGGCACAGAGAGGAGTTGAACACCTTCGACTCGCAGCTTTACGTCGTAGTGCCCCCGCTCTGTTTGTTTATTCCACTGAAGGCTTAGTGATGCATCTTTCAGAATGTCTCTGGCTGAACAGCTTCCTGCCTCTAACGCTCATTAGCCAACATTACAACCAGTCCCAGATCAATACTGATGATCCAGGATGTTACTCAGCCTCTGGTTTGTTTCAGGCTGAACGACTTCAGACAAGAGAGGAAGTGAAGACGCACCGGACGCCAGAGATTTCAAAGTAATATCATTTCCTGCTTTAGATCTTAAGCTCTAAAAGTTTTCCAAACCTTCAGGGTTTAAGTGGATAGATGTTTTTGTTGTGGTTATTTTAACGAAACGAAACCTCATGAGGTGATGATGAATTATCTGTGTCTGATGGTCGGTCGGATGTTTGGGTCCCGGGTTAGTGTTTAGATTGTCTCGGTATTGATTATGCACTAATCATTCTGCCGTTGATGTACACAGAGATAAATAATTCAAGTGTGTTCCACAGACACAGAGGAAAGAGACAGTGAGGACGTTAAAGAGGACAGACCAGAGGACTGATCGATCAATAGAGTGACAGTCTGATAAGTGGCACTTGCGTCATGTTACAATAGAGTAAGACCGAATAAAAAGTCAATTTATACGTATGAGATCATTTGGTTTACTTCAGTAATTACAAAGAAAGAAAAAATGATTTTCCGTCATCATGAAAAGAAAGATTCTGAAACTTTACTTTGTGTCCAAAATAATCTTGCTAGAAAAACGTTTCAATTCGTAACTTTAACTGAGCTGCGGTAAATAGAGTCCTGCTGCTGGACTCAGTCCACAGAACCTGAAGTGAAGACCTGCTGCTGCACAAAGAGCTGATCACTTATTTATTGAAAGTCTAGTGAAGCTCGACTGAACAGCTGTCGTTGTCGTGATCTATAGTGTCACCTACGAGTCCCAGAGCACTGGTCGCCTGCTCAGTCAAAGTTTATTAATATTGAACGTATCCCTAGGCCTTAAACAATACACATGACAAGTGTGATGAACGGTTCTCAAGATATGTGCGGCACAGACACACAAAGATATCTGGAATTATTAGACGATTGACTGTGATGGAAATAGAGAAATAGATGGAAATGGAGGAACATGGTGAGTTGAAGTATCAGCCTGAAGTGTTGACTCTTGAGTCGATGATCTGAGAGTTGTGCATCTTACCTTCCACCAGCTCGTCCATACTGGTGATCTTCTTGCTGCCGTCTATAGTGTAGATTGTGCGCACGCCTTGTGGCAAATGCAGGTTGTCCGACAATGAGCGCGTCAACTCCATCAGCAGCGCATCGTAGGAGCGAAACCGATCACTGGAAACGGCGTACACCAGACCCTTAAAGTACCGGTCTCCGTTGCGGTAGAACCTGACCTTTTTGGCCCTTTTCTCCGAGGTGAGCGCCTGCAGGGTTCGGGTCCGGTAATAGCTGCAGTTGGCGCTGTGGGCTGGGCTAGGAACCAGGCTGCTGCCCCTGGAGCTGGGGCCAGATCCCCCACCACCAGCGCTGCTTGTAGACTCATCTCTCTTGGCCCGGGTGGAGCGTCCCCGGCGAACCTTGTCCCGTTCCTCAAAGTGCTCCAGCTCGAGGGTCTTGCTCAGAGACATTCTGAATAATGGTTCTATAGCGTTGAAACGTCTTGTGGATTTCCTGCTACATGAGGTTCATCGTCCAACGAGGGTAAACGTGAGTTTGATCCTGGTCGTCAGGTGTCTAGCTTCTTCTAGCAGAAACGACTTGTCTTTAGCTTGTTCTCTAATCTGTTGTCCTGGTAAAATGTCTGTAATTCCACTACTGTCCTACATGTAGTCCAGATGACCCGTCTGAAGAACCAGTACAAAGATGGGTCAGCCCAGAACCTTGGTGTGCTTTTTGGTTTCCTGGTGCTGGTCCTGGCTGTAGTTTTAATTGATTGAAGTCTCTGTAATCCAAATAAGATCCCAGATCTATATCAGTTAATCCTGTTGTAAATCCAGTGTTACGCTACTCAAACTTCATTTTATGCTACAAACACAACTTATGTAATACCGTCAGACCCTTCTGTATTTAAATAATCGTAGAATTCAGGTACTTCTTTGATGCACTAATCCACAAATGTCCGATGATTGATCGGGATGGACTCTACTCATCCACTGGAAGTTTTTCCTGGTCCACAGTTTTCCCACCAGAGGTCAACTTTGTGATAAGGTCAAGCCCTCGTAATAACCTTGCTATGACCTCACTGTTCTGGCTTCAAACCCGTTGTATTGGCGTAAAGACCTTGAACCAGCATGTTGAGTCCCAGCAGTCTTGCAGAGGAGTAGTCCGGTTCCTTAGCATCCCTCCATCACTGGTGAAAAAAACAGATGGCAGTCACATGGTTTAGTAAGAGACAGATCTTCCAATCACCCTGAGCAGCAGCTGCAGGTCCTTCCTCCAGGTGCAGCTTTAAGGAAACCGACGACAGGACTGCATTCACGTAAGGTTTGACTTCCAGCACCATCACACACAGACTGAGCTTTAATAACCCTCAGTGCCTCAGCTTCATTTAAACGCACAGTTTTCCTAAAATCCTGATGAATAAAACATGCAGAGGTCACAGGTGAATTATATTCAAGATGTTTTAGTGAAATTAAATTTCCTGTGAGACCCCAGAGAGAAAATATCAGGTCCATTGATTTTCAGTCACATTTAAAGGATCTGGAGCCAAAAGCCCAAGTGTGAGGGTGTGGATGGAGATACATTAATAAAACCTGGGAATTCAACTGATGCATGAACTGACTTTATCCACCAATAGGCTGTGCAAACACACACACACACACACACACACAC